AATAATATATGATCATTATTTATGAGAACCAATTTCTTATAGAGTCCATATATTTAAACGCTACCAACAAAAAAATAGTAATTTTAAAAGACTTTTTGTTTGTAAATATTGGCATTCATACTTTTCTAAGAAAATTAGCATGTTTTCTTTTTCTCATTGCATTACTATTATATTATTTGTTTTATATTCTATAGACAAATAATATTTTATTTGCTAAGTAACTAAAGCACATTTACACGTATTATGTTATTTTTTGTATGTGTCTTATATAATGATGGTATCAAATTATCTTATTTAGTAGGCTACAATAATATAATCACATACGATTAAATGTAATTTAATATATTTGATAAAATTGTACTTTTTATACGAATTATTAGATTAAAAAGTTTTAGAATTTTTTCCAATGTTTGATAAAATATTAATTAACTAAGTCATTTTCATAATTACTAAAATACATATATGATACCACCATTATAGGGTTCATTTTGCAGCAGTAATTGACTTCACATAGCTAATGTTATTTCATTTCCTTTCTCTGGCCTAGCATTTCCTTTTATCTATGACTTCACATTGCTTCGCTTCGTTTGTACCCTAAGGTGCATTTGCCATAGTTTCAGGCTTTCAGCATTACGACAAACTCGTGTCAAACATATATCGGATTTGAGCGCTCTAGCCAAAACGTGGGAACAGTTAGAAGTTTACACCCATTTTTTTTTTAACTTTTTTTTTTAAATATGAATTGTTTCAAATTTATGTATGGAAAACATACCACAAGTTTATCTTATGTTATTTTATACATAATAAAATTGATTTAACTTGAATATAAAATTTATTATATTATATACTTTAAGACTAATTTATTATTTTAAATTAGTACTGATATATATATAAATATATTTGTTTTATATCAATATAAATAAATATATTATTTTTATTTTATTGATATATATGGGTCAACTCAAACATCATTGAAAATAAATGATGTGATATATTACATATAAAAAGGTAACAAATAAAAAATATGAAGTATTTGAAAATTAAAAAATTTAATGAT